GGAAAGAGCTACTGTATAAAAAAAAAAAAAGGGCTATTGCTATGAGTTTTCAGGAGTTAATGAAAGAGAATGAGTATAATTAGAGAGAAATAGAAAAGTAAAAAAAACCATAATGAACTAACAAATAAAAAATAACAATAAAGGAGAGACAAATATATATGGAAGAAATAAAGGTCATTAGCCTTAGCTATTTTGGAAGGCAGTGAAGACTTAAAAGCTTATTTCCAGTCAGAGGCAATGTTCCCAGCATAATCTGCTAAAGATCTTGATTTGTCTTGGCTTGGCTTTTGATACTGTCTCCCACAGCATTGTTGCAATCAAGCTAAAGATATATGGGCTGGATGTACTGGCGGTAAAGTGAATGGAAGACTGGCTGGATCATCAGGCTCAAAGGGCTTGAAGTTTAGTTGGCAGCCAATGTCAAGTGGAGTGCCTCATGGGGGAGTCCTGGATCCAGTTCAATATCTTCATCAACAATCTGGAAGATGGGATGGAGTGCACCCTCACCAGGTTTGCGGATGACACCAAGCTGTGGGGGAGTAGTAGATACACTGGAAGCTAGGGCTGAAATTCAGAGAGGCCTCAACAAATTGGAGGATTAGACCAAAAGAAATCTCATGAAGTTCAATAAGAACAAGTGCAAAGTCCTGTACTTACAATGGAATAATCTTATGCACTTATGCAGACTGGGAACTGACTGGCTATGCAGCAGCTCTACAGAAAGGACCTGGGGGGTTACAGTGGACAATAAGCTGAATATGAGACATCAGGGTGCCCTTGTTGCAAAGAAGGCTAACAGCATAATGGGCTGCATTAGTACGAGTGTTGCCAGCAGATCGAGGGAAGGGAATTATTCCCCTCTATTTGGCACTGTTGAGGTCACATCTGGAGTACTTTGTCCAGTTTGGGACATTTCCTACAGAAAGAATGTAGATAAATTGGAGAGAGTGCAACGGGGGCAACAAAAATGGCTAGAGGATAGAGATAAACTGTTCTCAGTGTTGGCAGATAACTTGAAATAAGGAGCAATGATCTCAAATTGCAGCAAGGCAAGTTTAGATTAGATTAGATTAGATTAGATTAGATATCATGGGGTTCATCTACACATAATTTAATATGCAATAGCCAATTTTACTGTGCATTAAAGTGTCACATCAAAAAGTGCAATTATGCTAGTGCACAGTAATATAGGCTACTGCGCATTAAGCATCACTTAAAAATCATGCACATTTCTTTAGCACCTTACATTGGAGGTACTAAATTTAACATGCATTAGAAAAAGCATCTTAATAAACATGCAGATGCACCCAGGAAAAACTCTCTCACTAAGAAGGTAATAAAGCACTGGAACAGGCTACCCAGGGAGGTTGTGGAATAAAGGTTAAGACCTGAGTAGATAAAGCCTTGGTTAAGATGCTATAGTTGGGGATCGTCCTGTTTTAAGCAGTAGGTAGAACTAGATGATCTCCTGAGGTCTCTTCCAACCCTAATTTTCTATGATTCTATGAGCATTGATGATGCTTTCTTGAGACAAGGAAGAATAGACATGGTTCCCTTTCATGGTTTAGCAGCATTGTCTGGACAAGAATCATTAAGCTAGGGGTTGAGTTTTCTAGTTTCAGTTTAAGAAGCTTTCGTGAATAGATCTGAGTCAATTAGCCAAGCACAGCACCACCTGAAAATGCAGCTGAACTGCTTCCAGTTTAGGAGGTAGTACACAAAACAAGGAGGCATGTCTCAACAAGGTGCTGCTTAGCATGGAAAACATATAAGAACCTATTAGTATCAACTTATAAATGCCAAAATCAGGGGGAAATTCTGAAAGAAGAGTGTTCTTTAGTCTAGAAAAGAAAGTTAAAACTGATCTGTTTAATGCTGACTGGAAAGAAGAAGACTCTTTAAAAAAAATTAAACAGTGAGAGTTATGTGGTGGATTCTCTATTACTTAAAGTTCATCAATTAAATTCAGATGCCTTAGTAAAATATATCCTCCAGCTAAAAACTCTTTGGACTTTATTTAAGAACTGTTGTATGAAACCCAAACCAACCAGTAGCTCCTCCACATAATACAATTAGAGGGAAGTCCTTGGAGAACATTGAGCATTTCTTCTATCTGAGCAGCCATTTTTCTCAAAAGGTAAACATATTCAACATTGGATAAAATATGCCAGTGTTGCCTTTGGACATCTCTGAAACTGTTTGATGAGCACAATATCAGGAACCAACTCAAACTTCTCATCTACCAGGCTGTTGTCATTCCCATGCTGCTGTATGGGTGTGAAAATTGGATGGCGTTTTGGAAACACTGGAAAGCTTCAGAATGTTACCATCAGTGATGCCTTCGGAAAATATTCCATAATAATTGGACACAAGAATGACACAAGAATGAACACCAATGTTCAGGCTCAAGCAAATGCCACCACCATTAAAGCCATGTTTATATAGCCCCAGCCTGGTTGGACAGGACATGTCATAAGGATGCCTCACAACTGACTCCCAAAGCAGGTCCTATAGTCTTGACTCACTGAAGATTACTGTTCTAGAGGTGGACTGAAGAAGAAATTCAAGTTCACCTTGAAGGCCAATCTGCAGAAATGCAATATTCACATCAATACTTGGGAGAGTCAAGAAATGAATTGACCCAGTGGTGTTGTGATGTACAACATGACATTGATCATTTCAAGCAAACTTGCCTCATTATGGAGACAGATAGACAAGAGAGACATAGTGAAAGAATTATGACCTGACATCACCAGGATCTGTTGCTTCCTCCCAGAACTATTTACTACATCTGTAGCCAAACACGCAGATCTCAGATTGGGCTCCTCACTCATTTATAGGCTCACCAATGACTTTCCTATTTACTCTGACATCCTTGTATCAAGGGACTGCTGCTGCTGACAACAATAAACTATGTGGGTGATGTTATGCAAGAAATCAGATAGTATAATCACATCCTCTACTGGCCTTAATATCTTTGAACTGTTATCTCTTATTTCTCTGCCTAAAAGGTATTGTCTGCTTATAGGGTTCTACTCCTGAGAGGGAAAGCGTTACCTGCCTGAATAATTGTAGTCCAGAACATTGTAAATCATTTCCTGCACTTTTTCTTGCAAAAAGAAGACAGATTCAACCTGCTGAGCTCTATTTCATGTCACATTATTATAAGCCAACACTACTTTACAGGCAGTACTTTCCTGTACAAGCAGAGGTATTTATAAACATTAAGCAATGCATTCATATACCCTAATTTTGATGTAGTAGTTGTGTTATACTATATGTCTGACCTAGGAGGGGGCAAACAGCTCTGTTAAGGGTGCCAATACAAATACAACCACATATCACACTATTTCTGCAGAGTAAATTAACCAGTCTGTTTTGGAGAAAGCAATCATTCACCAGTGCTATGTTTAAAGAAGACATTCTTTTGTATTTGCATCTCTCATTCAATTGCCAGAGGTCTTGGCTTAGAAAATTCAGAAAACTATGGTATCAATTGTCCATACCAAACTTGATTGTATGCAACGTTCTTTCATGTTTGACAAGCATATCAATCACATTTACTGGTCTCCATTTTCAAGTTTTGTCCACAATATCATTACCATACATCACAACAGAAATGGAGTAACTGAAGGCTTTCCTAGATTTAATTAATAAACTAAAGACTGCAGGATGCCCTAGGTACAGGAAGTGTGAAGCAAACACTAGAATTTATTGTTTAAGTATAAAGTGAACTATTTGGGGATTAAAGATATTGATTGTGGGGATTAAAGATCCCTGTGCTGGCCCCAGCACTATAAAAAACTGCCCTGGCAAGCAGTTCATGGCTACTTGTTCTCAGGAGCTTCTGGGGCCTGGCCAGTTGGTATCCGGGAACACTACCCCTTGTGCTGGCTGGACTGCTGAAGCAGCCCTGAGAGTTCCCTGCACCCTTTACCCACTGCAGCAGTCTGGCAGTGGGGGCTCCTGCCTGGCTGTGACCTGCTGCCACCTGCAAGGGCATGTGGCCTCAAGGCTGCATGCCTGCCAGACCCAGCTGGGGACTGCACAGCCAGAGCAGAAGCATCAGCACCTCTGGGCCAGCTGCCAGTGGGCTGTGGCTGCACAGTTGGCCTTTGTGTGGCACTACTGCCATTTATGCTACCACCCTGCAATCTGGGCAGGTATTGCCTGGAAGATGTTCTCAATGTGGTGGCCTGATTTGAATTGTCAAAGCATGTCCCCCTGGCCCCAAGTCGTCAGGAGGTCAGCCACCGCCAGCCGGGTTCCGGATGCCAGCCCTGAGCAGGCTCCTCTGCCTAGGTCCTGCCTCTTGCCTCCCTAGCAGGAATTCTGATGGCCCCTATTTAAAAAATGCAAAATCTCTGATAAAAAAGCCTAAATTC